CATGATGTGAAGCTTGTTATCACTGAAAAAAATGCCAAGCAAATCTTACTTGATGTGGCACACAAAGAAATTGTGCAAGATTCAGCTTACATAGCGGAGTGTTTGAGTCCAGTGTTGAAAGAACTGAAACTGCCACCAGGAGGACTGAATGAACTGATGATCAGCCTTACTCCAACAGCTAGGAAAGTTGTAGCCATACTAAAACATGAAACACTCAACAACAGAGAAAGCCAGATCATGGATTATCTGAAGAGGTTTATCAAGAACTCCAGTGATGTTCGGCTCAGGAAGTTTCTGCGTTTTTGCACAGGTAATTAATTACTTAAGATATTTTGTTATCATTATATTCATTGGAATATAACATGTTATTGATATGAAACTATTTGTATATTTATTTATTGTACTTACTCTATTAATAAGTAAATTGATAAGTATTAAATGTTTTGAATTTCCTGACGTTGTGTATTATATAATTTAGTATTGTTATTATATGTATACATTTTAAATTGTTCTCTGATTATTTGTTTCTTGGTAGGAGCTGATCTCCTTGTTGCAAAGTTTATTCATGTCTGGTTCGTTCAGCCAAAGAGTTTCTTCACACGAAGTCCCCAGTCCCACACCTGTGGATGTGTGTTGGAAGTTCCAAATAATTATACTTCGTACCTTGAGCTTGCAGAGGAGTTTGCAAATGTCCTTGATGCAAACATATGGGTGATGGATATTGCATAAGGGTAAGGAAACAGAAAATAACCAATACCAGTTATATTCATGAATTATCCTTTTCTAATATTATCCTCAATGTTGTGTTTGTCCAAGGTGGTCAGACAGTATGTGCAGCAGCAGCACCCGCAGGACCATGTGATTCCATCTAACACTCGTTTCTTGCAATATACAATATTAATTATTGCATCTTGCACATCCATATAATGTGTCATAAAATGCACAGATGTTGTTACAGCAGTGCTTTAATGTAAAGGTATATGATTTTATAGATTCAAATTTAAATTGTTCTTACAAAGTTTACAAAAAAACTGTTAGATGTTCATTAATTAGAAGTTTATTAATTAATGCTGTTCTACTGAATACAGTTTTTTAAAATTAGTTACTGTATCTTGCACATCCATATAATGTGCCAAAATGCGTAGATGTTGTTACAGCAGTGTTACAATGTTTAGGTATACGATTTTATAGATTCAAATTCATTGTTTATGTATTCATGTTTTCTGTTCTCTGTGTTTATATATTGTATGCAAGATTGTTTTTACAAAGTTTACAAAAGAAACAATGTTAGAAATGTTAGTTTATTAATTAATGCTGTTCTACTGAATACAGTGTTTTTTAAAAAAAAATAAACAGAACGGATACAAAAGACAATCTGTCATACTTTAACAAAATATGTATAGGTATTAAACAAGACTACAGCAATAACATTAAAGAGATGAACAGATGAATAACATAAAAAGAAAAAAAAAACAGACATCACCTGACTATATATGATGCTGGTGTTTCCTGAAATTATTGTAACTCTAATAATTAAAGAATTTAAGAAGAGTCCATAACAACTTTGTCAGTACTAAATGATTTTTCAGCATGTCTTTATCTCACAATATTTAACAGTGTAGTAAGCTCTTGTCTTAGTGCAAGGTAGAGATCAAACGCTGTGTATCTATCCTTGGGAAGCCTGAGGTGATGTTGGGCCATGATGTGTGCACACAGGGTGAAAACATCCTCATCACAAGCAACATCAGAGCGATGGATACACTGATCTTCGCATGCAGCACATTCTACCACCGGTACATGGCATATGTAGTCTTCTGTGTCATATAATTCAGGTAGGGTGTACATGACATCCGGTCGACCGTGGGGTACAAGGCTGTTCCTTGAAGGACGAATCAGGTGGCTGTTCCAAGTGTCTTTAGTGGAATCAAGATCTTCCTGTAAAAATCACAAACAGTGGTAAATTACTACTGTGTTTGTGTGTGTGTGTTTGTGTGTATGTGTGAGTGAAATAGAGAGGATTCACCATTTACCTGAATTAAGCCCAGGAAACAGAATAACATAAGGTTCTTGTCCAAAAAGCTGCCATCAAAGTTGCCTTCATCTTTAATTTGGTGAAAATGTTCAAGCCAAAGATCCACACACTCTTTTCTAAGGACACCCCACCAGCTCTCAATTCTCTGGTTGGCTGTACTTTTGCCATAGATAAAGCTTCTTTCTCCAGCCAGTGGATCAGCATCGCTATGTCGCAAGTACTGCTGCATATCCCTAATGGTGCTGTTTTCTGTTCCCATATCTGCTCTCAAGATTCGAGGACAGCCACCAAGACTACTTACTGTCTCAAGGAAGTAACCCCCTATGACTTTAGGATCACTGCTTGTGCAGTATGCATTCAACCATAGTATTCTCCTTGAGAATCCATCTATTGCCCCATTGATACAAATGCCAAATGGCTTCAGTTT